AACCAACCCCATGATCCGATAGCCTCCCTTCTGGTCCCTCCTTCAACATGTGGGGATATTGGAGATTAAAATTCAAAATGAGATTTTCTTGGGGACACAGAGCTCAACTGTATCAGATCCTCTGCTTAAAAGCTTTTTGATGCAGAAACTTTTCCCATATTAAGTATTTTTTTATTATCAAAAGAACTTCTTACACTCTACCTCCTTAATTTATAGTTGGTAATTCCTCTTTTGGAAAAGATAAGGGAATAACAGGGAACTACATTTACCTTACCATTTATACAAAATAGATGTAACATGGGATTTCTTTTCAAATTGTATGTGTATTAAACATTGCAAGGACACATAAGATCTTACCATATTATGAAGTTGTACCTAAAATGTTTGGAGATGTCACTCATTTTCCAACCCATATTGGTGGTGGTCCAAGTCAAACTATAATGAAAAGGTCAAAGGCCACCAGAGAGGCAAATTTATAACAATTTCCTTCCTCACATGTATTATCTTTATTACGTACACAGAATATGTTTTATTATGAAGAGAGGAAGGGTTCCTTCTTTGGCAAGAAAATGAAGAAAAAAAATTGTGCACGGAGCATAAAATCTTTCCAAAAATGGCCATTTAAAAAGTAGGCTTCATACAGAGCTCGATCTTTTTCCTGATATGAAGCAGTGAACACGTTAACCTGACTTATTCCAGTTCGTAAAATACCATTAATACTAATCCAGAATAAAGCACAATAGGAAGGGTCAAACTATAAAGATCAATAAATGCCACCTGTGGCTTGTAAGAGTTTCTCTTTCTCTCTATTTTAAAGTATCCGACCTATGCCACAGAATAGCTTCTGCTGTTATAGTCAATATTAAGTTTTCAATGCATACATTATGTGCACAATGCAATGCTAAGCAATGGAGGTAGTAAGAAAAGAAAATGTTTGCATGTAGCTGTGAAAACGTAACTTACCTGTATGAAATACCCAGAGATTTGTGCAAGGTAGCATATTGTCAAATACAGAAGAGTACAGTCTGCACATAGTTCGAAATTCACTGGTTACAAACCTTAGGCAAGGCTGACTTCTACAGTAGTTAGGTTTGAAGGTAGCCTTAACAAAGCAACTGGATTCACAAAGAGAAGTTAGGTAGAGTTTTTCGGGCAAGAGAAATTCATGAGCAAATGCATCAGGGTAGACTTGGTAGTTTCTGTACATTTGCAGTATCAGCAATATTGCTGATATTAAGCTGCTTAAAAACACAAGATTCATGTCAAGAGAAAGGAAGAAAAATGATTAGACAAAAAAAAAAAAAAGAAAACCTTAAACTGAAGTCATTAAAGCACCAAAATGAAAAATTTGAATTCAGTGCAAGAGACAATGATGATTGCTTATCCCATGAATCACCAGCAGATCATTTTAGTTTCACATCAATCCAATGGAGATTTATGCACTGAGAATAAAAACAAACCCCCTAAATCTCTGTTAGACTTAGCTATGAGTAAAAAAGGAGAGAGAAGAATAATTCTAACTACAAGGAGCATCCTAAGGACAACTTTGAGAAGATTTTTCAAGGTCATCACCATCTGTACTGACACATCTTATTCACCTGTTATACACACCTTGCTAATTCCTACACAAGTATTTTTGCTCTTGTAGTTAATTTCTATCAGAATATTCTGTCCCCTGTGTCAGTTTTTCCAAACCATACCCAACCATCAAATTCTAGTTTATATCTCTTTTTGTTCCAGCATGTTATCAGAATTACCTCACCTCCACTATACTCCAATTTTCTGAACACCAATAATACTTTTAAACTCACTGAAGACAATGATTATACTAGCTGTCAATTACAGACTGATCTGTGTCCCTCCAAAATTCATATAATGAAGCTCCAATCCCCAATGTGGCTGTATGGAGAGATGGGTCCTTTACAGAGATAATTAAAGTCAAATGAAGTTGTAAGGGTGGGTCCATAATCCAACAGAACTCATATCCTTTTAAGAGGAGAAAGAGGCACCAGCAGTATACTTAGGACTGTCTGTAAGCAGAGAGGCCTCAGGAGAAACCAAACTGGCTGGTGCTTTGATCTTGGACTTCCAGCCTCCAGAACAGTGAGAAATAAATTGTTTTAAGTCATCTGGTTTGTTATGACAGGCCTAGCAAAATAATATACTGCCTGTATTTACTAAATAATGATCTTTTCTTCCTTCTTTGGCTCTGATCCTCTGGAGTACAGGAATCAAAATTATCTAATTTCTAAAAACCTCTTAAAATTCTAGGAATATTTTGTTTATTGCAATAACATAAGATAATTGCATGTAGGCATACATGAATAAACAAATAAATTCAAATTCTTATAGATGAAATATTCTTTAGGCAGATTTAAACTACTGATGGGAAAGGAGGGTAAGAATCACTTAAAATACCAGTATAAAACAGGAAAAGCACATCGTAATGAAAAAAATTTTGACTTGGGAGTCATAAAATGCTGAATTTGAATCCTGGCTACTTCAATTAGTAACTGTGTATATTGGTCTTCAGTTTCATCATTTAAAAATTTGGATAATAACATTTACCTTTCAATATTATTAGAGGTAAAAAAGGCTTAAGCACTGATTTTAATTTTTGGTGGCACTTGCTTAATAAATGTTAGTTATTTTGATGATTCTGAGTATTCACTGAGAAAAAGAATAAATTAGTGAAATAAAAACAACCTGAATAAAAGGGTGAATGCATTACAAGAGGTCTGAAGAAGCGCATGAAATATGGAGGATGGGAAAATAAAGAGCTTACTATGGGAAAACAAAAGGATTGCAAACCAGTACTGAAAAGCACAGCTCAGCCTGGAAGTCTAACTTTTTAATAATACCTATGCACATGGTCACGTAGTTTGTTCCTCCCACAACCCCAGTAACGTTAACCAGCCTGGAAATAATAAGACAAGAAAGAGAAAGACTGTATTCACATGGAGCTTGAGCTTAGTCTGGAGAGTATGGTAAAAGAAAAATAATACTGATATAGACAGAATGAGAGTGCTAGTAAGAATGTCTGTGAAATAGATCCTTAGTTCATCCTGGCTAAGAAAATCCAAGAAGTTGCCATTAGCAAGAAATGATTAGGAAATGGAAATTGTGGTTATTTTCATGCTCCCATTTTCCCATGTTATTTCTTGACTTAACCAATATTATGGGTTCCCCAAATTCCACATGTGATTATACCCCAACAGTGGGCCAGACTGGGCCCCTTTACCCTGATTAATCATGTTTCAATTAAATCATGGTTACAGGATTTCAGTTTTATGATCACATCATTTCTCACCTGTCATAATATACTACCGCAGGACATGGATCATTCACAGTATTTATTTATGATTTGGCATTCCCGTTACAATGTCTCCAGATTTTATGTATATAAAGAACCTAATATTTGTTATTATCCTTATAGTAGCTACACTCTCAGCAGTGTAACTATAGTTTACATGAACTTAAAGGCATACCTAGGGGAGGCACACAGTATTTCACGACTTTGTAAAAAAAGTTATAATTATATAATCACCAGGGATAGCATTCCTTATGCTCAGGGAGTATATTACATCTCAGTAGTTTTCTATTAGAGCATTAGTCATATGGGGTTGGCATAAAATATTAGGTGCCCTCCCTCAATTCAAGGTTAACACATAGGAATCACAGAATTCATACTCCCACTGAGACTGGTTTGTCCTTTCTAATAACTTTTTCTCATCTAAATGTGTTATTTGATATTCCAGGAGCTCTTTCTTCTAAAGTATACCACTTTAAATGCTCCTTGCTATACAAATTTAGAGAAAACAAAAATGGATTCGATGTTCTCTATTTAGGTATAAATTAATTATGTAAATTCACTCAGGAGATAGAGGTATTATAATTTACAAAGAAGTTACATGGAGGATTTAGAAGTTGTATCAAGTGAAAGTTACTCAGAAATAGTAAATAACAATAAACTTTGATGAAGATGTGGTTTCTATTGCATGAATTTCCTCATAGAAGATACAGACAGTCCCCTACTTATGATGGTTTGACTTATGCTTTTTCTGCTTTATGATGATGCAAATCAATACATATTCAGATATTCAGGGGAAAGTGTACTTCAAATTCTGAATTTTGATCTTTTCCCAGGCTAGTAGTATACAGTACAATACTCTCTCATGATGCTGGGTCAAATCATCTAACACAAAACCTGTCTGTCTTATAATAAAGTGCTGAATATCTCATGTAATTTTTTTTTTCTGAGACAGTCTCACTGTCACACAGGCTGAAGTGCAGTGGCATGATCCCAGCTCATTGCAACCCCCACCTCCCAGCTTCAAGTGATTCTCCTGCCTCAGCCTCCAAAGTAGCTGAGACTACAGGCACACACCAGCATGCCCAGCTAATTTTTGTATTGTTAGTAGAGATGGGGTTTCACCATATTAGCCAGGCTAGTCTTGAACTCCTGACCTCAGGTGATCCACCCACATCTGCCTCTCAAAGAACTGGGATTACAGGCATGAGCCACTGTACCTGGCCTTATGTAATTATTGAATACTCTACTGAAAGTGTTCTGGCACATTTAACACAGGCTGGGTAATTATGATGTCAGTAGGTTAGGTGTAGTAGAGGGATTTTTGACTTACCAATATTTTCAACTTAAAATGGGGTTATGGAGATGTAGCCCCATTGTAACTCAAGGTATATCTGTATATGTATGTTAGAGAGCTTCAATAAAAAAGCAAGTGCAGGAGAAGAGGGTCATTTCTTCACAGTCTGGACAGATATAGTTCAAGAAGAATGATTGTTTACTAGCATATTGACTTGATTTCTTCATTCTTTCCCCTAAAAAGTGTTTTAATGTTACTCACCTGAACATACACCTAGATACTTATCAAAGCTAAAGAATATTATGGTTTATATAATGTATCTCATATATACAATGTTATGAGTTTTCTTTCCAGAATTTCTAATTAAAGTTACTAAGCAAAAACGTTTCTTTCTTTTTTTTTTTTTCTTTCTGTTTCTTTTGGAGGCAGTCTCTCCCTCTGTTACCCAGGCGGGAGTTGAAGTGCCGCAGTGGCGCCATCATAGCTCACCGAATCCTTGAACTTCTGGCCTCAAGTGATCCTCCCACCTCACCACCCCCTCAAGTAGTTCAGATCACAGGCCCATGCCACCATGCATGGCTTTTATAGCTTTCTCAGATAAGTGTGGATAGTCTTCTTTGACAGCATACCAAATTTTGACAAGTGTCAGTTGCCAAATGTGTAGTTACAACATGGATTCTGAAACCATAGCAATGAGCTTTCCATACTCTTACATTTTTAAACCACTCCTCTAGCTTGCCCTTTGAATATATGTTTTACTTATGCAGAATTTTGTAACATCCTATATTGGACATTTGTAAAAGATTGGTCCTCCCAGTTGTACTAATTTTTGAAATGTTGACAAGTTTCATTATATAACGCCTATATAGAAAATACATCTTCAACATCACCACCAATATTATCAGAAAAGTCTTTAAATATTGGAAAGTTGCAAAACTCATAGTAGTGGTTGTGATAGGCTCATTTCATTTTTGAGAAAAATGTCTGCCAAATGCCCATGTCTGAATAACCATAGTTGACATGTCAGTTGTTCTTTCAAGAACAAATGGTATCGCATTAAAAAAATGGCTGGTTCAGTTTACCACGTGAACAAGGGCACAAGTATTTTACTCTTGAGACAATAAGTGTACGTTCATATGAAGCAGAAGTACTCTATGTTTCCCATTTTGTCACACAAAATATTAAGATATTAAAATCTCAAAGGTTGAGATTTTATAAAATTAGTAACTTTTGCTGCATCCACATTCTTAAGTGAAATTACCTTTTTATTTTTAAGCAACGAGTATGTGGAGATGAAGAATAGAACAGTTTTGTATCACTGCTTTCAATTGTCTAAGGCTATTGCTTTGTAGCATCACTGCAAATATCAATAGAATGAAAAAGGCAAATAATGTATTAGACTATTATTTAAATAGTTTGACATTATGGATCCTCTAAAAGTATCTCAGAGCCACTCATAGGTCTATGACCCATAATTTGAGCATTCCTGTACTCTTTCTTGAGCTATAGACCCATATGTTTAATGGTCTATCAGACGTCCTGAGGTAGTCTTATTTCAATAATCTTAACTGATTCTTGGTCACATTTCCTCCTTTTCCCCAAACTCTTCTTTGATTTCCTATCTCAGACACCATCACTCTCCATGTCATTTAAGTCAGGAACCCAGGAGTCACTATTGTTTTTTCCTTTCTCTATAATCCCTTGAATCTAATTAGTCACTCAGTACAACCTCTTACATATTTTCATTTCTGTCTAACATAAAGATTTGGTTATTAAAAGCCTGCGGCATAAACAAACAAACTTCCCTATAACTCATTTCCTTCCTTAGTCTCCTCCTCCCATTCATTCCCCATTGTCCTACTATATAGGTAGCTTTTGAAGAAGCAAATCTAGATGATGCGATATTCAGAGACGAAGGCTATGTTTCACACAGCCAGGGTCTCAGTTCCTACTTTCGCGCTTTCCCAGATGAGTAACCCTAGCAAATTAATCAGGCTCTGTGTTAGTTTGCCTTTAAAAAAAAAAGTAAAAGTAAAAGTATTTATCTCACATTGTTATAAAAATAGAATGAGAAATTCATATACAGTATCATCTAGATGAATTTGTAATTAATACAATCCTGAAATCTAGCACACAATTAATAAATATTAATGATTATTTTATCAATTCACTTCTTAAAATTCTCCCATTTCTACTGTATATTTGACATGTCTTTCTCACTCCTAGAATATGATCTCCTTAACTTTAACTCATATTCACTTATTTCAATATCTGAAATATAGTTGATGTTTAATAATGATTATCAGTAACTAATGAGAATTTTTCTCTAAATTATTTACAAATGTAGACTGACTTAGTTTTAGCACTATTTGAATTTTTCAGTCATATTTCTCAATTTTAAAAAATCCTACCTAATTACCAGATTAAAATACATTATAATATTTTAACACATGTAAACTAAATTGTATAACAAGGTTACCCTGCTAACATTTTGTCCCTAGGTTGGCAAAATTCTAAGCCCACTTTTTAAAACACATTCTTCTAAAGACTCGTATAACAGTAAAAGTCTTAACCTTCCCATAAGTAGGCTTTATGTCCCTAGGTTGGCAAAATTCTAAGCCCACTTTTTAAAACACATTCTTCTAAAGACTCGTATAACAGTAAAAGTCTTAACCTTCCCATAAGTAGGCTTTATGAAGGATAGGGATGCTCTATAAAACTCATGAAAATATATGCAATGCTTCATGAATGTTGTGGGGTGTATGTGTGTGTGTATATATATGTGTGTGTGTGTATATATGTGTATATATGTATGTATATATGTATGTGTGTATATTTCTCCCAAATACGTGTATTTGGGAAAAATATATATGTATGTATGTATGTATGTGGGAAAAATATCTATTGCTTTCTTTGGATTCTCATAAGAAATCTTCGATCAAGACAGGGTCAATGACCACTGTTACAGAAAATAGCAGAGAGGACCCAGTCCAGTGGCTCATGCCTGTAATCCCAGCACTTTGGGAGGCTGAGGTGGGTTGATCATGAGGTCAAATGACCGAGACCATCCTGGCCAACATGGTGAAACCCTAACTCTACTAAAAATATAAAAATTAGCTGGGTGTGGTGGTGCATGCCTATAATCCCAACTACTTGGGAGGCTAAGGATCACGAGGTCAAGAGATCGAGACCATCCTGGACAACATGGTGAAACCCTGTCTCTACTGAAAATACAAAAATTAGTTGGGCGTGGTGGTGCATGCCTGCAGTCCCAGCTGCTCGGGAGGCTGAGGCAGGAGAATAGCTTGAACCCAGGAGGCGGAGGTTTGCAGTGAGCTGAGATCATGTCAGTGCATTCCAGTCTGTGACAGAATGAGACTCTGTCTCAAAAAAAAAAAAAAAAAAAAAAGAAAGAAAAAAAAAAGACAAGAAAAGAGAATATAGTATACAGTGCTAGGAGTTGGCAGGGTCCATGACAGACTGAAGGAGATATATTTTTCAGCATGGACATTTTTTGAACATGTCAAATCACACAATGAAGGCAACTGCCTACCAGGTCTACATTTGTATAAACGTTGAAAATAAATTATATGAAGTTCCCAACTCTGAACCTGAGTATCTGACCCCTGAACAAGAGCCAATAAATAACATCATTAAATCACACTGTCAATTTTACTGCATGCTCCTTCCTGGTGCACACTGTGTTTGTTGTCAACATTACTGGGGACTTAGAGCCTGTGATGATTATAACCTTGCAGTGTGAGTGTGTATGTGTGTGTGTGTGTGTATGTGTATGCTCTTGGATTTTTTTGAGATGATCCCATTTAAACCAATGATTAATTTTTTAAAAATTTTGTATGATACATAATATGTAACCTGAAATAATATACCAGTTATACATATATTAATATATAATATGGTATATATTGTCATACAATATAAAATATGAAATATAATTTGCAATATAAAATGAAGTTTAATATATAATGCATAATATAAAACATATAATAAGTTTTCTGAAAATTTGTGACTCTTCTATGGTAATAAAATAATCTACATATTTAATGTAGATGATAATTCTATACGATTTTAACCAAAAAAACCCACTTGATTAAGTAATTCTGTAAATAATAAAAGGCATTTATATTTCAATAACTACACTTAAAACTTTTTATAACAAACATTCAATAGAGATATGTCAGTTTGATAGGTTTTTCTTTAGACTTATTTTTATGTTTCAGTTTATAAGTAATTTCATGTTTAAATATATCTAGTGGACCTGGTTGTCAAAATAGAGGTATGATTGGAAACATAATTTAGAAGTTGGCAATTGATTTCACTTGCTGTGGATGTTAACAAGTGTTCAGTTATAGGCTATCATGGGAACAGAAATCTGTCCTTAGGTTGAAATTGATTAAGGAGCTATGTTAGAAATAACATAGATGTTCTATAAGCAAAATATTCTGAAATCAAATGCACTGATAAAAAATTTGCAGGGTTATCTTTAAATTCACTACTGAAAATAGTCATTGTACTGAAATAATACTTATCAACTTTTCCATCTTTATTATCTGTTCTTGTCTGCTTCATAAAAACCAGAAAATTAAATGCAATGTATTTCCATTAGTGCACTGTTAAAGCTGTAAATTTAAAAACAGAGGATATGAAAGTTAAGATCCTCTTAGTAACATTAACTTGTCCAACACTGATTATATATAATTCCTGGATTGCTGGTTAGTGTGCTAAATGTACACTTTATCATAAGGCATAAGAAATGTAGAAAAGTAATACTGTTAGGAAAACCTTAACTTTTCACTTTCTTGAGTTATGAAGGTTAAAATTTGCAATCTTAACACTGTATTAGCATAGGATTCTGCAATTTAATAAAATAAACTTGTTGAGAAAATGAACTATATTCACTCAATAAAAATGATGCCTGCTTTCCTGAATGAAACAATTATAGAATCTGAATTTCAAGTCAGCAGATAAAAACTTTAATGCTTTAGTAGTTTTTATAAACCCTGATAAATTTACCTCACAAAGTGTTGTTATTATATGTCTGAAAAATCTGTAAAACATTATTTATGTTATACAAAGTTATAAAAAAAAGTAAAACATTATTTATGTTATACAAAGTTATAAAAGTCTTATCCAATAAATAACGTAGACACATTCATTTACTTACTATACAGTATATATACATATCAAAAATAATTCAATTACTACGTTGCATCCACAAAGGAACTTAAAAGATATTAAAGAGAAGAAATAGTAAAGATCATTAAGATTTCATTGTTCTTATGATATCTGCAGTGGATTAGAGTAAAAGGGTTAACAGATAGCAAAGCAATAATATAAATAAATAAGAAAATTAACAAAATTAAAGACCCAAGAGGGTTAGAGTCCTTTTACATTTTGTTCAGTGACACATAAAAGATATCTGGGCTATAACAGGTGCTCAAAAAACATTTGTGTAATGAATTAACTTGCATGGTATCTTTGATAACACAAAAATTCAAAAACTCCCTTAATTGATAGTGAGGTTCTCTGAGAAAGATTTAACAGTAGGTCAAATCTGAATAATCAGCATGAATGCTATTTACTCCAGGAAAAAAAAAAAAAAATCCAAAATCGAATGTGGTCTGCAGTGAAAATCCATGCAAAGATATTATCAGAAACTCTAGTAATAGTAGTTCAGGACATTTTACTGATAATTTCTCACTGGGTTAAACAACAAAGATAGGTGCATTAATTCCAGAAAGACATTGTTAAAATGCTAACCATTCCCTAGGAAAGCATCCGTGTGTGTGTGTGTGTGTGTGTGTGTGTGTGTGTGTGTGTGTGTGTGTGTAGCAGCTTAGATGTGGTAGCAATGGTGGTAGTCTTATGTTCCTCTCACTACTTCAGATATCCATCTAATCAGCCACATAAAGGCACCAGAAAAGCATGGTGAGTCTTCCATAGTGGATGTACAAGGGCAAAAGTTTATTTCATTGTAGAATTAAGAAAGTGGCAATTGCAAGTAGTATAAGTTCCCCATATTTATGAGGGGTGGTGAGATATTAATGGAGTGTAATGGTATTAGTTCTGTAGTGGGCTAACTAAAATTATTCTTGGGAAGCTATACCACAGATAGATATGTAAACACATTCATTCATATATTCAGAAAATATTATTTGGTATATTATTATGAGCCCCCTAGCCTACTTATGTGCAAATCCTACTCTACTGCTAGTGAAATGATGAGTAAGACATGACACCTACCTAGCAAGGACATTATAATAAACTACAGAAATTAAGTAGCAACAGTAAAACAAATACATATAAATTTAGAAATATATAATATTCTATTTCTAAAAGCAAAGATATCAATAATCCCTAAAAATATATTCAATAATGGCTAAAGTAGCCTATCTTACAGTGCAGCAGGAAAGGATCATGAGGTCATAGCTTTCCTTTTGGTCACTCATGTAATTTGTTAGATAGAATAGATTTAGGACAATGTGTTTGCTCACAAAGAAGTTGCAATGTATGTTTCAATTAGGTCTCACAGAGCATAGATTAATTTGGCTATTTGAATCCCTGTTTGTATCAGAGAAACAATTTCTTAACTACCTTGCATGTAGAAAGGTAGTTAGTGTTTCTGTCTTAGATAAGAAGATGTGGCCTTTGTCAAGATATATAATATCTTTGTCAAGGTACATGTGCCCACCTTGGTTCTAAATTGACAGTATTATCAATATTTTAATATCATTTGAACAACAAAATAATCATGATAGGCTTTAATAAAAACAATCAGAAATGACTGCTTAAAGTTCTATCATAAAAGGACTTCAAGGCAACTCAGCCTCTCCAGAAACCATGCCTCTATCAGCTTGTTTAGGGAGGAAAACCAATAAGACTCATCTATAACAACAACGATTCTGTTAAACGATGGGTTGTACGGCATCTAAGAGATTTATGTATGATATTTGGAATCAAATAGATAGCACTATAGCATATCTGATGGTTCCCTGTTTATATTTGCAATGGACTGAATGTTTGTTTCTCACCGTAATTCATATGTTGAAATCCTAATCCCCAATGTGATGGTATTAGGTGCTGCAGTCTCTGGGAGGAAATTAGGTTACGTGAGTGGAGCCTTATAAAGGAGTTTAGTGCCTTCATGAAAGAGATCCCAGAGAGCTCCTGCTCTCTTTCCACCAGTGATGATGCACTAGGATTTCAGCAGTCTGAAACTCAGAAGAGGTCCCTCACCATGCTGGCACCCTCATCTCAGACTTCTAGCCTCCAGAACTCAGAGAAATAAATTTCTTTATAAACCACTTTGTCTATGGTTCTTTGTTATAGTAGCCTGAACAGACTAAGATAATCTTTATCTGAAAAATGCAGCTTTTTTTTGTTTTGTTTTTTTTTTTTTTTTTTGAGACAGAGTTTCACATTTTTTGCCCAGACTGGAGTGTGATAGTGCAATCTCTGCTTACTGCAACCTCTACCTTCCGGGTTCAACCAATTCTCCTGCCTCAGCCTCCCAAGTAGCTGGGATTACGGGCGGACAACACCATGCCTGGCTAATTTCGTGTTTTTAGTAGAGATGGGGTTTCACCATGTTGGGAAGGCTGGTCTCGAACTCCTAACCTCAGGTGATCTACCCACCTCAGCCTCCCAAAGTGCTGGGATACAGGCTTGAGCCACCGCACCCAGCCTGAAAAATGTACCTCTTACTGTCAAATATGAGCATTTCCTTCTTGAGGTTACTTAGCTCCTTAATACAGTTCCTATCTAGTTTTCATTTACACATAAGTAGAGTGCCCAGATGCAGAAGTTTCAGAGCTGGGTTAGAACAGGGCCTGTTTATTATCATAACTATATATACCACAGTCTGAAACCTGTTCTGAATATTTAAGTAGTTAAAGGCTAAAGACCTTGATTATAGGTATGACAACTATTTACTGGAAGACAAAAACAGAACAGATATAAAAAGAAAGGCATCAAAGTGACAGTCCATACAGATCACAAAAGCAAGATAACATTTTTTGAACTTAAACCCTTTTAGA